AGTCAGCCAACACACTTTACCACCCAGGATCCTTTAGTGCTGGATTCATTTTTTGTGATGTGTCGTATTTAAGCCTCTCAACTATATGACAGAAAATGAGAATTTAAAAATAATAATACATTTAGTGACAACAGAGCTGTGTGTGTGTGTACTGTCTGTGTGTGTTTAATGTGCTTTTATACAGGCACACCTTGAAGCCCCTCCCCCTGGCTGTCAACGAGTGTGTTCTGCGCATTTATGAAAATGTGTTGACATGTCTAGCTCGGTCATACTCACAGATTCCTTGCATGACGTCTCTCTCTCTTGAGCTGTCTCTCTATCTTTCTGACTGTCTGCCTATCTGTCTGTGTGTTTCATATTGCTCACTGTGGAAATTATTTCTCTTATGCTGAAGGTGTTAATCACCACCACACTAGCTGCCAGCACTTACACTCCACCAATTACACTACTTGTCATTTCGTCAATGATTAATCTTTCCCATTGCTCTGCCTGTTACTGTTTTGCTACCTGACTTGGCTTTTAATTTAAACTGCTTAATAAGGAACAAAAATGAGAAACAACCAGTTATCATTAATAAGTTGTATAGACCCCAGGTGGCATGAGCTCTCAAAGAAATGTGAACTTATAGTATTTCTTAAAACATAAGTTTTTAAATCATTTTGCAGTGTTTTAGATTATTTAACAGACACATTTTCTTTCTCCTAGACTTGATGTTGCTTCATTCTCTGACTGTTTTCCTGCACTTTTACTCACTTTGTGAGAGCCTCTTGTCTTCGCTGACTAAGCACATGTCAAGAAACTGAAGTTGTCTCAAGGTTTCAGAATCTGATATTTTTAGCTGACTGTATAACATTGAGCTGCACTGTGTCATGTTAATTTGTCATCTTCTTACTCCTCAGCTACAAATCCTGAAATTGGAATTGCTTGTAAATATCAATACTAACAAAACCAGGGGAGACTAAACTTTAATATAAACCAATAAACGTGTCATCCTTGTTGTGATGTACATTTAAATCTGTTTATGTTGACAAAATTCGAGGTACACACTAAGTAGCATGAAAAGCGTGCACATTCTCACAGAATGAGTTGGACGATTTATGTGATAAGCCAGGGGAATAGAAGTTATGTGATATGGATGGAATGGGTCACATAACAACCAAACATCACATACACTAAATTCACATGGAGTCTTTCCCATATCTCGTTATTTTCGATTTAGTTAAAGGGCTATTAGAGTGTGGAAATGAACAGGTTGTAGATACAGCCCTGCAAGGTATCTCAGTTCACATGTTCTATTTTTAAAGTGTAATCTTTGTTCCCACCTCAGCACCAAAGCATTAAGTCCCATTACCCAAGCAAGGACTGTCAAACTGACACCATGACAGCAGGTAACCTTGGTAAACCTGCGATCGTTGCCTAGATTTTTGCAAGCTACACGTCCCTTAGTGCCAGGCTAAGATTTTCCAATATTGACAACATGTCTAGAATGTCAGATTAAGTCCTCTGACAATATTATTTGACCTTCTGTGGCTTTGGAGTTTGTTGGTCTATGTGAAAATTGTAACTTCAGTCTTGATGGCTTTTCAGAAAGTGAGAAAACAAAGAACATTTATTAACAGGCAAGTAAAGATAAAGATAAAGATAAAGATAAACTTTATTGATCCCCCGTGGGGGAAATTTGTGCATTACAAGTAACCTTGATCACCAAATAAGCAAGCAACAAAACAAAAAAATCAACAATAAGTAAGGACAATAAGAACAAAATACTTTAGAAGGAAATACTGTCTGAAAACAAAGATAGAAACTCTTGTGAAATACAACACCATAAAAATCAACAGAGATTCTGTTTTTATAACTGAACCCTCTTCAAGAACTGTTACTCAGCAGCGTGAGAGTCTGGATACAATAGAGAATGATTTGTGAGGTTCTTTAAGTGAAGAGACTGTTTCAGCAGGGCCAGATCCCTCAGGGGTCATTTCAATCAATGTTAATAAGTGAACCATGCACACACACCTTGGCCTCTTTATCTTGTGTTTAATCTATGTAGTGGTGTGTCTCTTGACACATAAAACCAGTGTCATATAAGAAACCCTTCAGAGCATTTAGCATTTAATAAATTGAAGATATGTTTCAGTTAGTTTGATTAGAACGTTTTAATTTAAAAAGAGAAAAAACAAAATCAAAGCACACTCTACAAAAAATAGGCGCTTTGCACTTACTGTCAGATTTTTTTTTTATTGCAGGAAATGTTTTCCTTCCATCCTGTTACCAACACCCAATTACCATCATTCACCTTAAGCCCTCAGCCAGGGCTGCAAAACATCCTCTTCACACAGAGGACAATTTTGCAACACTCGATTACTGCTGCACAGAGGAAGAGCAATAAATAACATTTCCATCACATGTAGACTGAGATAACCAAAAGAGATTTTAACGTGATTGATTTACTTTTGTGTGTGTGTGTGTGTGTGTGTTACATCAGGAGATTCTAATGGGCACATTTATACATCTTTTCTTACTATTTAAATAAGGAGACATCATTAATCCGTCTGATTTCTATTTTTAATACTCATAGTGTGTTGGAGGCCACACACCATTGATCACTGCCTTTGTCATACCACCATCACTAAACACCCATCAGTGTCATTCATATGGTTAACTCCCTCATGTGATGCTTCTTTTCCAAAATTAACAGCTTATTACCTCATTTAAGCCATCATGATAAACATTATCTCATGGTGGCATGTTAACTTTACTTTACAAATGACTTACTCTATGACAGAGTGATAAGCAGTATGATCATCATGGTTACCCACAATTGAGTATGGCTTAACTCAACAGCTATTGAGCGTATTGCTATGAAATTAAGCACATTAGTCAATCTAAAGCTACTTTGGATAAAACCAACTCAGGTGAAAGTGAGTCTTTGTCCAATACTATGGTTTATTACCAAGTAAGTATGCTAAATGCATGTAGTTTTTAATCTTAAAGGATTTAGTCAAAGCATTGCTGTGCTGAGCTACACTATCACTGAGCTTCTAGCATTGCTTTAAGCTCTTAGAGATGTTTGATCTCAATGGACAGAGCAGGGATGTGTCCAGACAAACAAATGAGGGGCAACATAAAAAATATTATAAGCTATCTTGTGAAGTCAAAAAATAAAAATGTTTTACAAGCCAGACAGTGTGCAGGAGTTTGCTTCTAGCATTCCTCTCCTACACACCTGTATTATGAAATAGATATGCAAAATATTTTCCCACAATTTAAAGTGCTTACAAAAAATGAACTACATTCAATACAACAAGCTACCTGTTGCAAAACAGGTGAAATAGTTGATTTTGATATCATTCTGCCTCTTACAAGGAATTTAGCCAATCATAGTTGAAACATTTTGGGGTGGCACCTATGGAGGGCCAATCACATTTCTAGAGGGACCCACGGCACCTCGAGCCACCCCTGTGGACCCGCCCCTGGGACAGGGACAAAAAGAACAAGCTGTATCAGTCTTTGTATATGGCTGGTTTGGCTCTTTTGAAGGAAATTGTTAACAAAATTAAATGAGAAAAAATACTTCTCTAAGCCTTCTTTGTTAAAACATTTTTTTGTTTTAAATGATAGCAGATCTGATCACTTCCAGCAGTGTCACAACAGCACGACTCCCCTCACTATCATGTCTTGCAATTGGCTTTACACCTTGTTATTAGACGGAGATGCACGTAGCTGTCCTCCAGAGTGTCTTTGCTGGCGCAGACTTGCTCTCAACAGGTGTTTATGTTTCTCCTCTCAAGATCTGATGCGTGACTAGCATTCAGTTTGCTGGCCCCTGAGGCGTGACCACGGAGAGGGAACAACATGGGTCAAAACCAAAATTACAGCGTGGTCCCTTCTTCAAACGCTAGTTGATCCTCCACTAAACGTGTAGGCTATATTGTAGGAATTTTAAGCATAAAGTCGGTTAAGCTTTTAATTGGTTTACAGGCTAACAAATAGACCATGTAATTGGTTAGCATAATGTCTTTTCGTCAAGATGGCAGTGGCACACATTTTGATTTAAATTGTTCTCTTAAGAAATAAATGCATTGCTATATCGCGTCTTTTTCCTCTTCACTTTTTAGGTTTTTTTTTTTTTTTAAACTACATTTATACTTACGAGGACAACATATGTGGGCTTTGGAAGAGGTTAGGAGAGGTGTGTCGATCCTGTCGCAAAGAAGACACTTCTTTCAGAGTTCTGGATAAAGGATGATACTTCCCTCACTATCCCACTGCACACAAGAGGACTGATGGTTTGCTCTCCCGTGACAAGTGGTTGACAGCTTGTTTTGTGCGCGCAGTTTCAGGGGAAAATGTGGTGGAAAATGCCAAAGTTTTTCCCCCTCTTCATTCCTGGCTGCCTCCTATTACGCATGCAGTAGGAAGGGGCTCTTTTTGTGGTAGGTGGTCAGCGATGTAGAGGAGAAAGGACACAGAAAGAAGTGATGTGTTCTAAATTTACTCTGTGGACTGTCGCTAGTTATTTAAAATGCAATGAACAACCTGCATTGCTGTTTTTCGCTCAGGGGACTGAGAATGAGGCTGAAGACGTGACCTGTTGCAGCATCTCTTTGAGCTTTTAGTGTTTGGATGGATACAACGCTGCAAAATGAACCAGTTTTCCAAGCTTTATTTAAGACGATGGCTTTTTAAATGAGGAGAAATTAAATAACTTTTTTTTATGATCGGTGGACATTTTTACGCAGAGCGCATTTTAAGTGGGGATTGGACGTGCTTCTTTGATTTGGCTTCACGGTGGACTGACTGGAGAAAAAATAATATTTCGTACCGATTTTTGAGTCGGTAAACTATGACTTGGGGTATTTTTGCAAGTAAAACTGGTGATGGACGTTAACTGATCGGGATCTTGCCCCTTGCTTTACCTCGAACCGAGCGCAACACCGCGCCCTGCTTAGGAGAGTATAACCTCCTTTCTCTCCCCTGTCCCCCTTCCTTCCCTTTGACAGAATGGCCCGGTTTGGAGACGACGTCCCGGGCTTGTTGAGCTCTGGGGATGGAGGGTCCGAGCGCAATCGGACCCGCGATGGAGCGGCAGTTTCCACAGGTGGGATCTCCCCAGCCTTCAAGCAGACCAAAGCGCAGCGAGCCCGCACCATGGCCCTGTACAATCCCATACCGGTCAGGGAGAACTGCTTCACCGTCAACAGGTCCCTCTTCATCTTCGGCGAGGACAACGTGGTCAGGAAGTATGCCAAGAAAATCACTGAATGGCCATATCCTTTTCTGCTTCATGGTGCAAGCGAAGTGTAAGGTGTATTAACACACTAACCCTGATGTGCCAAGTGTAGAAGGTGGGTAAACTGTGTTTACAATGGGAAAAAATAGTACCCAATACCATAAGTGGGCTCCTGAATAGAGTGTTTATATTTTTCCACCAAGTTATTCCACCAAAATTACAAAATGCTGAACTCCTTACACAACCAAATACCCATAGGTTTTGTGGCATACCTATCTCTGAGCAATAGATGGAGTCTACGTGGAATTTCAGTACCATGGAGAGCACAATGCACATAATATTGGGTGCACAGACACAAGCTCCCTCTCAAACACACAAACATGGACACACGATTTGAGTTCACTGGGAATTGCTTGAATAATTAATTACGATCACATAATTAAACACAATTAAATCTATACACCCGAAAGTGAGACTTTTCAAGTGTACTAGTGGCATGACATACTTTTTAATCTAAAAAATGACGAAATCTATGATTAGTGTAACTAAGGTTATGATAACCCTAGTTATATGGTGACAAAAAAACTGCAGCAGGGCAGCATTTTTAATAGAAAGCAGGCAGGAGAAAGAAACTGGAGTTTTTTCTGTAAATATCTATAAAAAGTCTATGAAGTCATACTGTTGCTCCCCACTGACTGCTCCTCCTGATGAGTTTTTATCCAGCAAATATCTCACACACAGTTAGAGCTACAATGAATCTGCGATTAATTGACTTGTTGATTGACATAAATGATCCTTTTAATCCTCTTGTGTTTATGTTTGTAACAGATTTGCGAACTTTTTCAGAGAGAGGATTTGCTGCTGCTTTTCATCGTTTTATATCACTGAAATGAGCATGAGACCAATAAGAGGTCTGAGGACATGTCCTTTTACGTAAAGAAACTGTGTGTAGGGATATTTTTTTCTATTAAACATTTTACTTAAAAGAGCCACATAAAGTAATGTATGTGTGCCATTATCTGATGGCATTATTATATTCCTGAAAAATGGAGGGTCTTTTTTATTTGCCTGTTCCTCAGGAGCACAATCACACACAAATGTCGTGTGTGGCGTGTGTGTTGCTGCTGTATGGCTCACCAGGTGTCTGGGCCAGGTGAGGCCCCTCCACTGCTATTGTCCAGTTCAGCAGCTTCCTGGCTGACTGACTGGCATTCTGCTGATTTTAAATACCCAGCAAATAGAATGAGTCTGCCTCTATTGTTGTTTTCTCTGGGTTTGTACATGCACTTTGGAGACTAAAATAGAAACAGGATGAATTTCAATCAACAGCTGTGTGTGTGTTTGTGTGTGTTGCTCAACATATTACAGTTTTTTATGCCCCTATGGTACCATTAATAGTACTAAATTATAAGTACATCCAATGGTACATATACCTGTTTCAAGAGTACAGCTGGGTTTAAATCCTAACACTGTGTGCTGTAGTGACCAGAAGGAAAGCAGGGAGACTGATAACCTCCAGGTTAATGTGCTGTTGTGGAGGGAGCGTCTTATTACATCTAATGAGCTCTACTGTATCTGATTAACAGACATTAACAGGAATTAGATGTAATGATGTCTGATCGCTGTGCCATGTGCTATTACGAGAAGTCATTACTCACAGACTCATACGATATGATATTGTTTGTTAATATGGTTTTTGAGGGAGTGCTACTGAGCTGAGTGATGTTGGTGTCTGGACAACTTGAACTGTGGTTGTGATGAGAGGCATTATTCAATAGATGTGAAGATTCATTCACAGTCAAAACACTACTCAGCAATACTCACAAAATACACATGAAGAAATATAACAGGTTCATTGATAATACACCCTTGATTGTATTTCTTTATTTCAGAATGTTCTCAGAATACATTTTTGTGGCATTTTTTCTTATTTCAAAGTTTTGTTTTAGGACACATTTGAAAAAGCAATACCACAAAGTATCATGCATGCTATTTATACTTTAGCCTGAAACAGCTGTTTCTTTTTGGCCCTTTTGAGGCAGCAGAAACAAGTTGTGAATGCAACATGACATACCATTAACTTTTGAGCTAATGTCTAATTTGTTAGCGAACAGATGCCTATTTACACACCAAACAGTTAAGTCAAAACATTGTAGTTCATTTGGAATTGTTTCTGAACATCTACTGAGCTGGTAGCGTCTGGAAGGTCGAGAGTTTGATCCCCAGCTCCTGCAGCAACTTGTCCGATGTGTTCTTGGCAAGACACTCCCTTGTCACTACCCTGAATTGCTCCTGCTGCTTCGTCAGTGGCGTATGAATGTGTATGATGGGTTTAGTTTCCTCTGATGGTCTCACTACATAGCAACCTCTGCCATCAGTGTGTGAATGGTAGGTGTGACATGCGGTGTAAAATTGCTTTGAGCTGTCAGAAGATTAGAAAAGCGCTATATAAGCTAAAGTCCATTTACCGTCTAATACATATATTTCCAGTATAAACCCTCTGTTTTAAGTCTGTACCACACTGTTCCTAATCCGGAAGGGATTATTCTGTTCCAGAGCAGCAAACTACTCTGTGTGTTTGCCAAGCAGGTTGTAGATTTCATCTGTCTGCTGTTTGGTGCTGACCAGGTAGTATACAAAGGGAATTAAGAGAACAAAGTGAGATGAGAGATCAGATTGACAGATATTACAACGCAGTCCGACAACTCAAAAACCACGGCTATAACAATGCTGTCATCAGACGATGTTGGTGTAAGGACACATCACATTAACATATACAGTGAAACTTTAAATGAAAGCCTATCCCAATTTAAGGCCCAGACCCTTTACTAGCCTTGTGTTGTTGCACGTCAAGTCATTAGAATTAAACATGAACTTTAACATTTGTCTAAGAAAGACAAAATAAAGCTAGTATACGTACAAGCGTGAGAAAGTAGATTAAAGATCAGCTGGAGATTCTGTATGCTTGTGTATCCACAGAATGCATGCACTGCCTCTCAGAGAGAGAGAGAGAGAGAGAGAGAGAGAGATAAAGAATAAAGAAATGTAAATCTCAGTGAGTGACAGAAGGGACGGGGGAGGACTCTTTAGAGATGGAAATAAACGAGGAAATTATGAAAAGAAAAGATTTTTCCATCTCGCATGCCAAATGTTAATGCTATAACATATGCTTTGAACAACTACAGACATTCTAAGATATTGACATAGCTCCATAGGCCGGCACAGCACTCATTAGTGATTGTATTAACCAGGGTCTCTCCCTCTCTCCCCCATGGTGCGGAAATACAAACATACATGCACACATAATCTCTGCAGGACATACACTGAAGGTCAGTTTTGTGTTTAGAGCACAACTGGCCACTCTCCCCTTGCTAGAAGAGTGTCTGTGGCAGTGTGTGTCACACTGGAGCTTTAACGCTGTGTTGGGGCTTCTGACATCACATCACACTGTTTTTTAATTGTTGAGAGTGCATTATCTCTCTTTGGTTTATTTTGTGTGCACCTGAACTGCTGATGGAGGCCTGGCAGGGAAGAGTCAGGGCTAATTAAGCCCACAGCCTGAGTTTACAGTGGCAGGCAATGTGAGGACTAGCAGCTGCTCCTCCTGTCTGATCCCCACTGGGATCTCATGCGGAGGGAAGTTTCCCATTGAGAAGGAACACTTTTGAATAATTGATTGTTGGATTTAATAGAGTTTGTTTCATCGGAGGAACGGACCATCATGGGGTTGTTGGATTTAGTTTTTATCCTGATAATAAATCAGTCAGGCAGGTGATCAGTTTATGTACACAAAATATCCCACCTTGTGTTTTTAAGACACAAAGATCTCACTTAGAGGCACTGCAGGATAGAAATTCACAGATGGTAATTTAATCAAGGTTGTATTTCAGGTTGTATATTCTTGCATGTGTCTCTTTGGTCAAATTGTGCTTGAGAAAAAGACAATTTTCCCACTGTTTCTAAACTGCATCAGTGCATAAAAAAAGAAAAGGTCCAGCCTTTATTTATTTTCAATTAAAAAAACGTTTTCCTGCCTTTCTATTTTCTATCAAGAGCAATTTGTTTGGAGATAATTTAGCTTAAGTGAAGAAAATTTGATGCCCAATCTCAACAACCTCTCTGGTTACCTATAGACTCCTAGTATTATGACCTAGTATACCTCCATATATCCCAATGGAAGGGTATATATTGACGTTTTTATTTTAATGTTGTGTCATACATACCGAGTGTGGTAGGTCTGTTAAATAAACACTAATTAAACAGACAATCTTGTCTACCTAAACCTCGACAGTTTTTACCCATCTGGCAACCACAATATTTCAGCTTCTAAAGAAAATGGGACTCACTTCCACAAAGTCTGTTTTATCCTGGAAAGAAGAATAACAAATCTTCTCTTTGCATCCAGGGAACATGGCTTTCAGATAAACGAGATGTTACGGGAACACTTTATATTAAGCAGCTTGTAATAAGCATTAATAACAGGTAATAAATCACTTATAAATTTCTTATAAGACCTTATTAGATTCTTATTAACACAAATAAGACTATATAAGTGTTTATATAGGCATAATTAACACATTTTTATGGCTTATAAGACACTTTTAGGCTCTTATTAGAAACTTATTAACACTTTATATACCATCATGAACATTAATTATATGTTACATATCATATCTATCACATACATAGTTTCAGTTTGGACAAACATTTTGAAACCACCACATAAAGTTGAAGTTGAAATATCCAAGACCCTTACATACTTTCAGTTTGTTAGTGGACTATCCCACAGCTCTAAGCCAATGTTTACTCACAGGATAGACTGAACTATGGCTGCATTTATACGCTGGTGTAAGAAGGGTGCTAAGATGGGGTGGCAGTAGCTCAGTCTGTAGGGACTTGGGTTGGGAATTGGAGAGTCACCGGCTCAAGTCCCAGTGTGGACCAGAGTTGGTCTGGTTGCTGCAGAGGTGCCAGGTCTCTTCCAGAGTGCTGCCCAGGTGTCCTTGAGAAAGGCACCGACCTCCAACAGCTCTGGCA